CTAACAGAGATTATCAATGGTCATGATTAAAGCGTAGATTTAAAATGATCAAAAACAGTAAAATTGTCAGTGAAACATATAGTTTTCAGTTCCTCCTGCAGCTGTAAAGACACTGTCCTCTGCTGGGTCCCTGCTCGGCACGTGTGATCCCCCTTGATGACGTAGTGAATGCCCCCGAGCACCGTGTTCAGGGGTAGGCAACCTGCGGCTCCAGATGCGGCTCTTGTCCCTCTTTAGTTGCTCCCTGTGGTTTTGACAAAAAACATATGCATTTATCATTGTTGCTGGCCTAAAGTGATTCCTGCAGTTCTCTAATTGTAAAAATGTTGTCAACTTAAATTGCATTCTACATTACATCCTGAATAATAATAATAATAATAATAATAATAATAATAATAATAATAAAAATAATAATAATAATAATTTAATATATTTTTGATATAATAATTGTCATACTACAATTATTTATTGTTAAATAAATTCTTAAGACACATTCGCATCATTCTGATTCTTGATACTATGCTGTCATGTTGTATTTGCATCCTCTGGTCTTCATGGCCTCACTTGCCCTCTGACGTCTGCGATGTAGTTTGCTCCAGTTCTTGCTGCCTTAGTGAAATATCCAACTGCAATCAGCTGTGAGATTCCCGTGTTGTTATGGTATGGCCTAGTTTACTCTGTCCCCAGCTTATGAAAGTAAATTTCCAATGGCTTGATGGAAAGGCTGCCGTAACTGGCTCAGGTGTGCGGCTCACATGAGCTCCCTTGATCATTCAACTTTGAGATATTATATCCTTTCATCTTTACTACAATTTGAAACACATCCAATTAGAAGGCTACAGCTTTACTGATTATTTCACAAAGCAACTGAAACAAGTGGGTGATTTGTGATAAGATGTAAGTAGCAGCTTGGTGCTTTGAGGAGGCGTAGCTGTTTTTTGGGGTGTTTTTTTCTTTTTGAGGCCATCAATCAGGAAACCGACCTACTGGCTCAAAAGTAACACAGAACTAAAGAGACAGATAACAAACTAAAGCACAGAGCAATCAAACACCAGCCAAAGACAGGCAGGCTTACACAACCTTTAAGTGAAAAATGTTGTACTGTAATATTACTGCAGGATCCACGGTTGGTAGCACAGCAACAATCAGCTGAAGGAAACAGGTCAAGCTCAGCAGCACCGGAGACACAGAGTGTTTAGTTTGTCCTCCACATAAGATCTGAGAATGTATTACTAATTTATTTCACAATTAATAAGTGAATCTTGAAGAAGTATCACTTCACACACAGCCAACCCATGCTAAATTTATGTAATTCAAATCTCCTTTCCAAGTGAACATACTTCCAATCTTCAAATCTTTGAACAGTCATATGGTGTTTGTTTGCATGTACATATTTGCTCATTCAAAAAAAGAAAAAGTAAGCTGGCAGGGTGGCGGAGGAGGTGGACAATATTGGCACTTAAGCTATTTGGGAATCGCATATTTCTGTCGTCTCCTTTTGCGTCTTCACACCAGGGGAGTGTGGTCAGCGTTGGGCTACTTACAGCATTGTTAGCACCTTCACATCTCAGCTTTTACCCTTACCAAAACTCAAGAGGGACTGAATCATTTGGTAATATTTATCTTTAACCTATTAATGTAATACACTATAAAGAAAAAATGTGAAGAGAATAGCTTCATCATGTGTAATGCACAGATGGTTAGTCAGAAATGTGCTCTCCCTGCACCAGTGCCTTGAATTAGTCCTGCCTCAGTGGAACAGCTCACAGGGACGAAACTCACAACCTGTTCCCCTTCCTCTTTTTCTGCACCATCACTGCTTGTTTCACAAACACAGTGTGATATTTGCCTGCAGAGACTGAGAAAGCACCTTGTTCTGCTACTGTAATGTTAGCACAGACAACTTAAAGGCGCTATAAAGGTTTCATATTAGTTTTCATGATTTTGTTTGCAGATGAAATATGTCTCAGGATAAGAATAGTGTTCTCCGTCTAATAAATGTGTAGTTTAAAAGAGATTGCGGAACTACTTCAACATTTGATTGGCTGGGTTGTCACTTCAAATGTTTTAGACATACTTGACTGGAGGAATTTTTTGCTGTTGAGGAAGTGATCACCAATATCCCATTGATGCTGTCATACTGACTCCCAGTTTGTTTACCCGAAGGAGTTACAATGAAACAAAAGGCTCATGATTGCTTGTCTGCACAGATTTTTTTATGGCGTGCGTTGTTTTAATTGTGTTGGCATGAGGAAGTGAGATTCCATTGTTTACCCATTGATAAACTGAAAGGCGATATAAAAGCATCAAATACCGTCAGAGAAATAGTGTCTGCTAACAAGGAACAACTTCATGATCTGAAGATGAAACACTGAATTCAGTCGACCACGCTGAAGATACATGGCACATTTAATTGGTGGTTTTGTTATTGTTCCCATGGATAACTGACCACGAATACAGACATCATGCAAAAATAGAGTATCATTACAGAAAGAATTAAAAGTCACACCTTTATAATTAAATTTAAAATGCTCGCCCACTAGTCAATTCTGTGATTTTACTTCGTAAAGATGTGTGTACTTTTTCATTTTCCATTAAGGGGTGGTGGTGAGAGCCAAGTATATCTAATTGTATTTATTTCACACTGTTCATACAATTGTGTTCATACTATATTTAGCGTATTTATGTCTACCCCTTCCTGATAGGTCACCTTTTATAATGTTAATTAATTTACTTATACAGCATAGATCAGATATAAGCTATTAATAAGAAAAAAATTTGGTTGTCAGGTTGTGAAAAAATAGTTTAGACTGATTTTATATCCTGTCTATTCTGTAATAATGCAGTAATGAATGTTAATAATCTATTAATATTCATCATGGTTTTCTGACTTCTAAGTCATCAAGTCTTAAAATAATAAGTCCTTAACAGCCATCAGATATGAAATTATCAGATTAATGCTAATAGGGTCTATATGCTCAGAGGTAAAACTTTGGAGGGGTCTTCCCAATAAGTTAAACATGCCAAAGGGGTTTTTCTTAAGATTTTCTTATTAATGACTTAATTAGCTACCATTTGGTCAATATTTATGAACTATTAAAAAAGCCATTAGTTACAGCGTATAACATGTACAGTACATACAAAGAAGAAAATGTGAATCCCTATAATAAATCCCAATATTGTGTCAAAGAGCTCTTGATTTAGCAATTTTTTTGAGGCTGTAATATGTATTGTTGTTGTTGTTACTGTTGTTGTATTGGACAACATTACATTCAGATTTGTATCCAATATTGTGTAATGGAGCCCCGTATAACAACAGAAACAGCTTTGATTACAATAAGCTGACTCAGCACCTCTCTGACTGTTGTATTAATAATAATAATGTCTATTTACCAGTGAAAAGAAGTAATGTCCCCCTTGGAAATTACTTAATGTCCTCAGTTTATTAACCTTAGTTTATCTATCAAACCATGCATTAAAATATCAGCTGTCATTATCACGGTTGCTTAGACTACACAGGTACTGAAATGCCACATGGCAACTGATCAATAAACAGTTTTTTTGTAAGGTCAAACAAACAAGCTCAGTGTGTTTCAAAATGAATTGCAATTCACTGTCTCATGCCGTCTCAGGGATTCACGATCCACTCATTCAAGAGCTTTAGTGATTTAACCGTCTTTGATTTACCAATGTGTTCTGCGATAAACAGCCCCTACTCAAACAACTGAGAATTGGGATTTTCCTCAACAGCACAAAGCATTGTCTCGTCATAACCCAACATGTGTTGCCATAAAGTCAAATGAAAGCATATTCTGAGCCAGTATTAAAGGATTTCTTTTTAAAATTCTCTGTTTCTAGCTGCCACAAGCTGTTTTCTGTTCTCTGCTCCCCCAATACAAATGTCACATTATGTAACATTAATTCGAATGCAAAGAGTCTTATTCTGTTGCTGTCACTGCTTCAAGAGTCGCTGTAGGCATTTCTGAGGTGGATGGTTTCACTTTCTACCATATTGTTTGGGTGTTGACAAGAATCGTTGAGTCAGAATGAGTGAATATAAACATTACAGTCTAACATGAGGCTATATAGTATGATGTTAGACTGTAGTATATATATATATATATATATATATATATATATATATATATATACATATACATTACAGTCTAACATGAGACTATATATAATCTCATGTTAGACTGTATATATATTACAGTCTAACATCATATATATATATATATATATATATATATATACACACACTGGATGAAATATTGCCTGGAAGAATAACAACAAGAGGTATAGTGACTCTATTATTTTTGAAAACAGTATAAATCAGACAGTACTAGCTTTTGACAGCAGAATAATCAATGTGAGTTTTTGTGCACAATAATAAGAAACCTAAATAAATGATGTGTATCTTGACAGCGCAGTGGTTGTGGTTGGCCATGACAGAATAGAAGAATTTAAACTTCACACACATATATTGCTGCTGTGTTTCTCTCTATACATTTTTCTGTGTTAAAGAGATAAAGGGGCCCTCTGAATGCACGGTGAGCAACGGCAAAATGAAAAATGCAGTTCAAAGTTGATTGTGGAATGCCGGTTTTTAAAGATATGCAAATAAACTGACAGAATAAGAGGCTTTGCATTTCCCCACCATGAATAAAAATGTGTATTGCTGAATTGGTATTCTGTGTGAGACTCACAGAGATAGTAGTGCTCAAGTTTGAACTGAGCTTTAAAGAAATTACAGGGATATTTTAGCTTACCTACTTGGCAAACACTTCACTGTAACCTTGCCAACAGCTGGCCTGCACCAGCACCGACTCTGCTGAATGTGGTGTCTGGTGATGATGAATACAGATGAGAGACTTGAACAAACAAACAAATTGAGTTCTACAAGTATTTGAAATCATCAACAACGTTTGCAACAATACTACAATTTCATTGTTTTCTCAACCATGCCTCATCTCTGCCTCTCAACTCTTTTCTTGCAGGGAGTGCTTACAGGGAATGCATGGATAATGGGACGTGGGCGTTGAAGAGCAATTACTCCAATTGTGAACCTATTTTGGAGGAGAAGGTGAGTGTGGTGTCGCAAGAGCAGGAACAATCTTGCTATGTCCTTCATCCTGCAAGCACTTTGTTATCCACCTTAGATAAATGCTCCTCGCAGTTACTCATCATTACGCTAATGGCCCACAGAGAAAAACAATCAGATGTAGCACATGAAATATGGTGTTTTGATTGCTTAACGCTTACTGAACTGCATTTTCTATTTTCTGCGAGTGCAGAGTGTTTATAATTTGTTTCTGGATGACTTACCAAATACATAAATACAGTCTTGTCCCTATAAGCAAAGCCCAAGGCCAAACTGTAAGTGCTGATGTATTGTATGTGATGAGTTTTTGGCCTGATTACCTCACATTATGTCTCCTGATTATGTGTATTTCTGGGTCTTGCTCTATTTTCTCAGTTAATTTTAAGCTGTGAAATCTGAAGCGTGTCAATGACATTTGCCTTCTCTCGCTTGAGTTAAACCTCAAAACAATGAAGCCCAGATAGATAAATAGATCTTCTAGTCATGTATTTATGCATTTCTAACCTCTTCTCTTTGTCCTATTACCCATCAGTCACATTGAAGAAGTAATCCACGTCTTCTCTTCACAGAGGAAATATCCAATGCATTATAAAATAGCACTGATCATCAACTACCTAGGCCACTGTATCTCCCTGGGAGCTCTAGTCGTGGCCTTCATTCTCTTCTTGTGCTTAAGGCAAGTACAGAAATAGTACCCATCTAAGTGTGTCCTGTATGCATGAGACCTCATAGAATACAATCAGGGAAATTCATGTAATATCCTCGGACTGCTTATCATTAACTCGCTTATGTCAAATGAATGGAACTCTGCAGCTCGGCTCAGATGGAGCACTAAGAAAGACATAATGTGTATTTCATGACACGTCTTTCTTCTAAGCCGTCGTACCTTGTTTCATGTCCTGGTTTAAACACACACACACACACACACACACACACACACACACACTACCGTGACAGAACAGGGCAGATCCTAAACAGCCTCAACAAGGTTTTTCATGTTTGATTGATGTGCGCCTCTGAAGGCAAATATTGATTTCCTTAGGTTGAAGGCCAGAATAGTCAATATTTTGTTCCGCGATTAAACCTCTTTAGAGTTCATGGAGGAATCTATATCTATTTAGTGTTTCCCAGCTTATTCTTGGCAGGATAAGACATTTTCTGAAAAAATGTTTTGACCATTATCTGAAACTAAAACTCTCTCTAAAAGCCTGACAAATTAAATGATTTATCTTGATACACATGATGCATATATATACTCAGAGTGACTTGAGTCAGTGAGTTCAGTATCAGTATCCAAGTAATCCAGTTATAGTTGTCTACACACTGTTCATAGCTAATTAAAGAAAATTAAAATGATACAACTGAAATACATTAATCAATAAATAAAGGTTTTACAGATTGTTTGCGTGGCAAATAACTTATAGACAAGATAGTTAAAGGCAAATATTGCCCTGATTGGTCAGCAAACCAATATAGTGGTATAACCCTACTGTAAACAACAGAGTTCTGGCATTATTCAGACCTATGATCTCGGTTAACTCTGACTGAGATTCCAGCTGTACTGCCTATATAGAAAAGCATAACAATAAAACACGTCTTCCATTCGACTTTTGGTGCAGGAGCATAAGATGTCTTCGAAACATCATCCACTGGAACTTGATCACCACCTTCATACTGAGGAATGTTATGTGGTTTTTGCTTCAGTTGATTGACCACAATATCCATGAGAGCAATGAGGTAACAGAACTGATTTACGGTATTGTGTGCTGCACACACAATATATATAAATCCATGAAGTCTCTCAGCTATACACAAGAAAGTAAATTCTGTTGCAATTTACGATTAATTTTGAGTCTTGTGTTTTCTTTTTCAGCCTTGGTGTCGATTAATTACAACAATATACAACTACTTTGTGGTGACAAACTTTTTCTGGATGTTTGTTGAAGGATGTTACCTTCACACAGCCATTGTAATGACTTATTCAACTGATAAGCTCCGAAAGTGGGTCTTCCTTTTCATCGGTTGGTGTGAGTATGTTCATGTTGGCAGTGCATTAGTAACACCTCACTCAGCTCTTGGTTGTGTGCGATGGTTCACAGTGTGGTACACCAACAACATTTTTAATTTTGAATGAACATAGTAAATGTGTGTGAGTGTTTATGCATGAAGGTTTATAAAAAACACCCTTTCCTTATTTTTTTAATCTTTTTTCTTATAGATTTTAATCAAACATATTAAAACAGGCCACAGAACCCAATTTAAACTCTAGTTTAACTTGATATTTTCTGGCCTCAAATGCATTGCATTTTGTAGACTGATATGTATTAGGTGTTCAGTCAAGATTATAAATTTGGTTTCTCATCTTAAGATTCATTGTTCTAGAGCTTTCAGTCATTTTACATGAGCTTCATCAGCAGATTGCTTAGTTATTACTGAGCATTTTAGGGACTTTTCTCATCAGTGTCGGGTATACTTGATGTTTATTATTATTTTGTCGGAAATATGATGACATTTCACATTAATCATGTATCTGCCAGTCAGAATGCTGTGAAAAAGCTTGACCACAGTATTATGACATTTCTCTCCAATTCAAAGTGAACATTTACTTAAATAAAAGCACTTAACGGGAAGTCTGGTCAGCGAGGTAAGTGGAGGAAGACCCTTTAGTGTGTCAGACTTGAGATAAGGCAGTGATTTCATAAGAAAACTGCAGCGAAATGTGGAAAATATATTTTTTGTGCTTGACTTCCAGTGAAAGAATGAGTTTGGAAGATGTAATTGATGCTCCGTCATGACCACATAAATTATTAATGCTTACCTTGATGTAAAGTAAGCATAGTGTCAGAAAATTCTATCATGAGGCAGAAAAAATGTACATGGGAACATGCTTGTGTGCTTTCCTGAGCCAGTCTGACAGTTTCTTTCTTTCTTTTTTTGTAATGGACATTGTGTGTTCTTGCAGGAAGAAAAATAAACACATAATTCTGCTGCATCTAGGTCATACAGCCGAGTTTTACAAACACAAAAATGAAAAATAAATAGCAGAGGAGCAGATGACATATGATTGGTAATGACACATGTATGACATGATTGAGAAGCTCATATTGGCTTTAAAATGGAAGCAACCAAAGGCAGATATCACACATCATTCTAATTTTAATGACCTAATGTGATTCTTATGATGATTATCTGTGCGGTTTCCTCTTATAGTATAGTATATAAGTATCAAATAAGTATGAAGAATAATTTGTCCACATTAATTTATTAAATTAAATTAAATTAAATTGTTCTTTCATTTTTAAAATTGCAGCATTGGAGAAACCACACACCAGTGAAGAGCTTTCTCACTGTGCCACTGATATAAGTCTTGAGAGAGTGTTAATTAGAATTCATTAGGAAATGATGGAAGTGGGGCAGATTAAATCTGTCTTCCACCAGAGGCCTGATATTGGCTAGGATCAAAATAGGTTCAGACCTGTATTCTTTCAGCTCCATTAAAGGTCATTTCACTGACCATTTCACCTTTATGAACACATGATCTACTTTGTCTAGCTAGTTACAAAACCTCACCATATGTGGGCAGTTTTATTATAAACATGTGTGATTTCTGCACTCACTAACAATGTTTAGCTGGGATATGTTTTGCTCAATTAGCTTGTCGGCTCACTGGCAGGGTGAGACAGTTGAGCCTGAACTGCTTGTTTAAAAGGAGCAGATTTTCCTTGAACTGCAGTGCTTTGGGGTAGCAGTGAGATAATCCAAAGGGCTTCAGTTTTTTTTTACTTCCATCTTAATATATAGCAAAAAGCAGCAAAAAGGTTCTGATGCAGCACAGTCTCAAAACAGTATAAAATCAACATTTAAGCTTTGAAACCCAGACCACATTAACATGAGAACACATCAAGCATTGTAGATTAAAAAGTGAAAAAGAAATCTCTGATGCATAGAAAGCACTTAAAAGCTTTGTCAGTTTGTTTTGAAGAGAGGATGACAGCACGGCAAGTTAAACTGGTTTTATTTTATCACAGATAATTCAACTAGAATTTTAGATTGAGATTTTATTGTATCATTTCGACAGATCACTGTTTAAATGTGGTCTAGTAGAGAGTACATTACATGAATGATGGAGAATGTAACATGGATTGTTGTTTTTCTGAGATGATTTAAAAATGATTTTAATAATGCTTTTCACTGTTTTGTCACTGGAAACAAATGCATTTCATATTGTTAAGTATTTCTCAAAGTGTAATATTAACAAAGTCTCTGAGAAGGTCAGAACCCATTTGTTTTTCAGATGTATGTACATATATATCCATTAATTCTCTGCTAAAACTATTTAAGGATGGTAGCTGTGGTTCCTGTTGAAGCCCTGTTGGTTAAAAACATACATTCACAACATCACCTTCATTATTCTGACCCACTCTCTCTACTGCTATTGAAAGGAAAAGCTGTATGTAGGTCTCCAGATGTATTTTAGTGTGGATTATTACATTAACTCTTACATTAAATTGATATTTTTGTTGAGCTTTTTTCTAACAATAACCTCTGCCCTTAAACTGTTGTCTCTGACCTACATTAATTTCTTTATCACAGGTATTCCATTCCCTATTATAGTAGCCTGGGCCATAGGAAAGTTGTATTATGAAAATGAACAGTAAGTAGTAGTAGTTTACATCTAATATTTTCTTAAATGTTTTATTTAATTCAATGGTGTTGATTCTTTCTTTTCTTCTTTCAACAGATGTTGGTTTGGTAAAGAACCTGGAAAATATATGGACTACATTTACCAGGGACCAGTTATCCTTGTGCTTCTGGTGAGCAACAGCACAGAACGTCATTGCACTGTAAATCCATGGCTATTATTTTCACAGCGTTTGTACACTCATTTTACACTGACATGAGATTTATCACTAATGCCTGCATGTAGGTGTAAACTGATCTGCCCTGAATTGAAAATGGTTCTATAATGAAACCCATTTTCATCCTGCATCTAGCTTGTTGGTGGAATTAATCTTCCTGATGGGTTAAGGTATTTCCACTATAAGAATCTTAAAAATAAGAAACTATATTCATAGGAATGTATCGGCTAATGGTTATGTACAAGCTGTTACCAGCATTAAGTAGTGCGGTGACCATTTCAGAAATGTCTGCTCATCTAACACTGTCTTGTTGAGAAAGGAGGCTGCTTTGACTTGTGTTGCTACTCCTACTCAACATTTAATGAGCAGAATCTGTTCCCAGCAGAAAACTGCCATTGTATTTCAGTGTAAGCCATTAGCACAGGGTTCAAAACTAATTATTTACGTGTTGTTTTTTTCTAGATAAACTTTGTTTTCCTCTTCAACATAGTAAGAATTCTTATGACCAAACTAAGAGCTTCAACCACATCTGAAACAATACAGTACAGGTGAGTGTGGATGATTATATGCAATATGGAAATAACACTTTTCCTTCTGTTGGCTCCTTCCAAGGACAACATGCAATGTTTCAAGGCTGTGAGAAATGCATAATCAGGATTAAAGTAGCCGATTTAGAAAGCAGCCTAATTTCAACCTTCATAATTAGAGCCAACATTTAATTTCTGACTTAATTTCACACAAATCTGTAAGCTTGATACCCGAATACCCTCTTAGAGGGAAAATATATTTGGGGATCAGGCTCACAGATGCTCAGAGAGAAGATATTTGGAAATTAGAGGATCCAACTTAAATGACAATCAAATCAAATTTGTGCCAAGTACTGTGATAGTAGGGATCAATAATTGTTATTATTATTATTATTATGGCTATTGCTGTGCCTCTTTCAGTCTAAATATTGCCTGTAATTAAAATTATTGTTGGTAAATCACCATTAAAAAAATGTCTTTGATATTTCAAGCAAGTAAATAATTTCAAATGTTCAAATGATGTTAATTAATTAAATTCAGTTTGAAATGTAATTTCTAATGTTTCAGTAATCTATGGCAGATATCAAGTTTTGAATTGATACAGTTGAAATGAGTTTGGACTTGTTATAAAAATGCTTGATGTGCTGCCTGTCACAAATTGACCTGAGAGAGCATAAGATTGGCCATTTCATTTAGTCGCACTACTGTAGTGATCTTTGGAGTCTGTGACAAGCTTTGATGAGTGAGTAAAGAGATTTGGCATGTGCTTGAGAGATGAAAGCTGTGTGCAGTCCTGTGTCATGTTGTTCATCTGACCGCTAAATTGTGAGAGCATTTTCTCACCTTTTACTTTAAGTGTATTTCTCCTTTGGGGGTGATTTAAAGTGTACATGTTGATTAAGAGTGTCACAGCTCAGACAATTTCAATTCAGGCTTTTCAGGCTAGAGTTGGATTTACGGTTGTTCTGTGACAGATATGCTGACATGATCGATGCAGATTAAAGTGAGTGGAAGACAGGAGTGTCAGGTATGAATCACTGGCCTAAAAATAGAGCATAATGGATTCCTTCAAAATGGTGCCCGTTTTACCAGAATTGCATGAACAATATAAACAGCGGGGTAAATGTGAAAAGGAAAGATGGGAATTTCTGTGATCTTTCAATCGCATGCTTGGCACAGCATGCAAAGATTGTGGGCAGAGAACATATTTCTGAAAGAATCTTCTCATATTTAAAACCCCAACTTAATTTCAAACATTTTCGGTTCATCTTTTTAACTGGCTCGCTAGCTTAATGATGATTGTAATATTTAGAAATGCATGATTACTAAATAAAAATGATAAAAAAAGGATCAAATGAGACTTTCTGAAACCTGGCAAACCGCACTTTGCTCTTGTTAATGGATATCATGTAGTACACAATAGTACATTATCTGTTTACCATTTATAAAGCCACTAGCTAGTTTATAAACCATTAATACAAAGTGTCTTAAAGGTCAGTGTGTAAGATTTAGTGGCATCTAGCGGTGTAGCTGCTGAATTCATCACTCTCACCATCAAGTTCCAAAAGCGTAGGAGAAACTACTGTGGCCAAGAAAAACGTGAAAGACCAGTGTTTGGTTTGTCTCTTCTGGGCTACTGTAGAAACATGGTGGTTCAATGATTCTAATTTTCAGGTGATTATACACTAATGAAAACATACCTAAGAATATTATATTCCAGTTCTACCAATCGATACTCTGAATATTACACACAGGACCTATAATAAAATGTGGCACACATACTGCAAACTAGGCTTTCTCTCTAATAATGTGTACATTTTTTGTGAAGCAAAGACATGGTGTGTGTGTTTGTGTGTGTTTTTTTTTCCCAGTATGCCACTGATACAGAGTCATACATTTTCCAAAAGTTCTTATTATAGTAATTTAATGTTGCATCCCCCTAACAGGAAAGCCGTGAAAGCAACACTCGTCTTGCTACCTCTGCTAGGCATCACCTACATGCTCTTCTTTGTGAATCCGGGGGAGGACGACATCTCACAAATCGTTTTCATCTATTTCAACTCCTTTTTACAGTCTTTTCAGGTGAGAATAAAGACAATGATGCAGTGTGACACTAGCCAGTGCTCAAAAAAGCCTCACACACTATATTCAAAGTGAATCGTGCTGATTTCTTAATGCGAGTTATCGCAGAGCTATATCACTTCTTTCAGGGTGACTTTTCAGGTTATGAGCCTTCTTGTGGGAAATGATCTGAAGTAGCATTCTGGCTGTGCTTACACACAATATAGCCCTCCTGCCTCATGTTCAGTGCTCTCAGCTGACAGGATTAACATGGCAATGTGGGCATGATTTCTTCTCTGTGTTTTTTTTTTTTTTTTTTTTTTTTAAATCTTTCTATCTTCTGTGCTTGAATGTTAGACTGTGTGGGAAGAAAAAAAAGGATTTCTCTATAGTCAAGAATTATATTTGGTGTGACAAAATGTGTTCCCAAAATTGAATACTTAATTTATTTAGCCTTTTCTTCTCATGACTGCGAAATCTGAATTCTCTGATGTCTAATTAAGGTGTCATTACACAATACAGCTATTTTCAGTAATAGTAATGTGTATTATTCTGCAGGGGTTCTTCGTGTCAGTGTTTTACTGCTTTCTAAATGGAGAGGTGAGTCACTGGAGCTTTACAAAAGTCAGAATTTATAAATTTAATCAAATTGTCAACGTGTTTCTTGATATATGATGTTAATAAAGCCCCACATGGATTTACTTAATTAGTTTATTGTTTTTTCTTCTAAATACCCTCCTAGTTAAGGTAGAAGCAGTGGGTAGGATCAGGTATCTTTCATGAGAGAAATTTTGTTGATTGGATGATTTTATGTTTTAGTAGTGAAGGTGTAGCATTTTAAGTGTTATCCTCCAACATGATGAACAAATACTGATCAGCTCTGTTATTTTCATCTAATTAAAATAAAAGCCAATTTCTGAAATTCCGGCTGTTTGAAAGTCATTGACGCCATTGTAAGAATTACACATTTGTCAGTAATTATGAAAAATGAAGGACCCTCTTGCGTCTCCTCTCAACCCTCAAATAACTGAAACTCAGGGGTTGAGGCAGTTAATTTGATGAGGAAAAAGTGATTGTGTGGCATTAAGGGATAGATTTGAATTTTGGGGATTTTGGTTCACTGCTCACACACTGTAGATGTAGGACTTTTTGCAGTAAAGCCTACACCTTGTTCTTTTAATAATCAAATAGGGTTTTTTCAACAGTAAAATAATTGTTTTGGGAAATACTGATATTTGCTTTCTTACCAAAAGTTAGATGAGACCACTCTCATGTTAAGCATAAAGCTTGGTTTTTACACTTTGGTTTTTGTACGGATTTAACAAACTAGATAAAATGTGTTAGTGAGCTTTAGAGGTGCTGACAGGCAGATTTTTATCACCTTTGGACTGAGTCAGACTAGCTTCTTTCAAATCTTTATGTTAAGCCAACTGTCCCCTAGCTGTAGCTTCATATATAAAGAACAGATGAGTTGTATCAATCTTCTCATTTAACTCTTGGCAAGAAAGCTGGAGAAAGACTACCTAGTCCAGCTCTGTTCAAAGGAAATTAAAAAATCCATCTATCCACCTTTAAAGCTAACAAATGTAATATCTGTTTGTTTAATCCAGTCTTTCTGGTAAGCTAATTTAAAGCACTTTTCAGACATGTAATGCATAACATTGCAACAAGTGTTGGATTTTTATTATTCAGACAAAAGTGTCATATCTGCCGGCATTCACTCGCCATGTCAAATGATAATGGGATATGGAAATGCTATTCAGCAGCTATTCAAGCATGACACCATTGCACATACATCGTATTGCACATGCACATGCAAATTTCCTAAAATGTTGACAATGTTAACAAAAAAAAGGCAAGATCAGGGTTCAGACATTTGTTCTTCTATACATAGGCATATATGCATCTATAAAGTAGTTATTATAAGTACAATAATGTCATATTTATCTTTAACATTTTAGGTACGTTCTGCAGTAAGGAAACGGTGGCACCGCTGGCAGGACAATCACGCCCTCCGAGTGCGAGTGGCACGAGCCATGTCCATCCCTACATCTCCAACCAGGATCAGCTTCCACAGCATCAAACAGACCACAGCTGTGTGACCAAGGGAGCAAGCATACAATATCCACTACACAAGGGAAAAGACTTAATCTTTTTTGTCCAGTACAAACAATGAAGTGATTTACAGAACAAACTGATTCCTTTAAGAAGTCCACCGTGTGTCCAATGTGACTGAAGACTCAGGCGATTTCTGTTCTGTCTGAAGAACAAGTAATAGCATCTAAAAGTACACTATAACTGCACATGAAGTATGATTGGACACACAAATAAGATTGTTGGAGGATTTATTTCCCGTAACATATGGTACATGAGGTGTTTGGTTTGAGTTTTTGTGGAATATTTAAAAGACAAAAAAAATTGGCATCATTATCATCAAACTGTCACATCACAACAAGTCTTACCGTCTGATCAGATAGTGATCTTATCGCTGCTTAGTGGTTATTCGCCAAGCAAGATAATCCCACAGCATTTGCAGCAGGATACTTTAACAGCTCAGACACTTGTATGCATCTGCTCCATTCTTGGTTAGAGGGAGGGCAACAAGTAATATTTAGAATTGAATTAGATACATCGACCAAGATGCACTCAAGAAAAAAAAAAAAAGAAGCAATTTTTATTTAGTATGATAAATACCAAACTCAGAAATGCTCTTTGAATTAACTGCTCTTTGGCATCAACAGCTGCTTTTGACAGCTATGAAAGAGCCTTCGGGGAGAAGAGGGTTCACCTGAATTAAATATCAAAAACTATAAAGTATAAAAGCAAAAGATTCAAAAGAGGCACTGCTCTCTCTTGTGAAAAGGGATTCAAAATATTTTTTTGTGAAGTGAACAATTAGTATACACCTCATAACACATGGTGATACATTTTGGTCAATGTAAAATGATTATTTTATACAAACAAGCCATTCTAATGGAGCCTTTATATGTCCTATATGTCCTGAGAGAAGTCAGAGTCTTCTCCGTCTGTGTTCTTTTATACAAAGTAGAATTTCTGTCTTGTACTGTATTGTACTGTACTGCTAAGCTTCCTCTCTGTTCCAGCTATTTGTTTCCACCACTGTGAAAGAAGGAAGGTGTGAACACAACGAACAATTTAATGTGTTATGTGTTTAAACAGGTTGATGGATGAGTAGTCACAAATTACATATGTAAAACTTATGGAGTTGGGAAAGTGATTCTAAGTCATTTATGTAATGTTCTGTATATGTATGTTAAGTGCCATGCATGGACTTAACATGCCGGCACAGTGGAAGCAGATTAAATTCTTTTGGCTTTATGAAATCCTTGTGGCTTTCTAGTAATCAGTGTCACCACTAAGCTGTTCGTTCAAGAGAAGCTTGATGAAGTGAGCACCAATTGCCAACTCTTACATCTGTTCAGGCTGCTCACACAATAATGAGAGCAACTATCGATCAGCAATCTCAAATTCCCATAATACTGTTTTCTGCAAAAGGATGAATGGAGGAAACAAAATATTAGTTTTAAAACGGATTACGTCTGAAAAGTCTGAATTATGCTGCAAGCTTAAATTTTGATTCAGATGCTCCTTTGTGTCCCTACATTTGATACACAAATATATGAAGAGTATTTCTGTCTGTCAGGTGGTACAGTTAAGAATGTTTAAAGGATTAGTTCAGTATTTCGGGAAATATGCTTATTTCCTTTTTCTTTTTTTTGCCGAGACATGAGAAAGATTGATCATATTGTCTACAGTGGTCTTGATCTTCTCATTAATTAATTTATTTTATTTTATTTAATACTTCAAAAACATTTCTTTAAATGAATAAACATGTTTTATTTATTGTTTGGTTTGTATTTATTTGTTTATTTATATTTTTGAATTTATATTATGATACTTTTATTAGGATTAAAATTCATTGGATCTGCTGGTGGAGTTTAAAAAGATTTTAAAAAAGTAAAAGAAAATATCCAGAATTTTTGTGAGTATATTTGTTTGAAGGTGTTGTATAGACCATAAAATATTTCTCCTTGTTCGGAAATGTACATTTCATATTTGTGACGACTTTTTTTTTTTTTTTGTACTGCTTGACTGGACCGACATTATCCATTTTCTTAATTTTCTTTAAAACTTTTCTTTCTTAAACGCTGATCATCCAAAGTGATTTTGATGTAAATATTTTACATTTATGTGAATTTTGGTTTCAGCATCACAACTTGTGCAGCTGTAACACTGCACGTCCCTCCATGACCTCATCGTGTTATGTAAACATAAAAAGAACATTACTTAATAGTTGTGAAATATTTTCATACAGAAATAAGAAAAAAAAAAATCATTTATTCAAACTCACCAAAGAGACAAACCATGTTTACCAGCATCCAGACTTTTTTATTGTCTACATATTTCTATTGTTGGCACTGCACTTTGTAGCCCGAATCTTGTTGATTTTATTTTCTACACCATTTATTGTACATGATGAAATGTATCGAACGCAGTGTGATATCAGATTTGTTAACTTATTACTGTACATTGATAAATTTGACGTATTTATTTTATGGAAAATTATTTGTTGAACCACCCATGTTGCCTTACGAACAAAAGGAAATTAATTTTTTGTGAAAAGGAAGCTAATGTCTCTGTAAACGATGTACCATTGTGTTACTGATATACATTTGTACATGCACATGTGAAAGGAAATATATGGATTTGAATTAAAATGATACACTATATATTTTTGCTCTTTGGCTTTTCGTGTTATGGGTCTCTATTTTCAAGGAAGCTTGTAAACAACAGTGATCTGTTTTGACAGTATATGAAGCATTATATCTATTCAGTTAAACTGGGCAATCTGACATTAGCTGCAGATTGCAATAATGGGATCTGTTTAGGTGATTCATTTGCTATTTATCCTCCTATCTGCAAGCACTGTATGAAATAAATGCAGCAGTCTTGTAATGATTCAATCAAATAATTATTCTTTTGATAAACTAGACTACTGCAGATTCACTGGAACTGTGCTATGTAATTGTCTTACTTGTAAATAGTTTCCAGTAATGGAAGTGAAGATGCCCTGAGAGAGCGCCTGCTAGATTATGTAATATGAATACAGTTTCATACATTTCAGGCTTGGCTGGAGTGAAGTGGAGCAGAAATTGCTGCCTATGCCCTGAACCCTTAGGACTCTATGAGTTATACATCCCCAAACAATTAGCTGAGACTCTGATGCAGCCTAATAAAGGCTTGTTGTGACAATTAATGCTTTTGATGGTTGACAACAGTTTGAAAGGCGGACAGTGGATGTGATGTTATAGAGTGTACCATTGCCAGAGGCAAACAGCACATCTGCACTTCATTTTGGATTGTTTGCCCCGAGCTCCTTTGTGTCTATATTAAACTGCGTTTCCCCAGTCATTACCTCAGTTAGACATAAATGACTGGCATGCCAGCCTAAGGATGCCACTACAGTCTTAACACTGATTTGTCATTTATAATGATATAATGAGGTGTTTCCCATTACCATACGCATCAATTTTAAAAAAAAAAAGAAATGACCCTAAGGTTGGTTAGGTAATGTTTCTAATCACTTCAGGAATTATCTTAATATTGTAGATTGAGAGTTGCTAGTTCTCTGAAGAAATTACAAGTCGATGTGATGAATCAAGACACTTTATTGCATGCAGCATGGAGAGAAGACCTCAGCATGAATGTTCTCTCCCTACTTCCAGAATGATCTATCTTATATGCCATCCAAGATCACCTGGTTACTTCCTAACCGTACCCCTTGTAAATCCCATCCCAAGGCCTTAGACCTTCCACAACACAATGGTCCTTTGATCCAACAGTGTGATGTATTCAGATTCTTAGAATACTTCCCCCTACCATAAAAAAATCACTAACCCTAAACCGAACTGAATACTTATATTATCCCATCTAAAACATTCATCTGCCACAATACTTTCCAAAATACATATCCTGAGTCATCATTTAAAAGATCAGTATGTAGGATTTAGTGGCATCTAGTGGTGTAGTTTCAGACTGCAACTGACTCGTTTCACCCTCCACTTCCAAGCACAATATAAACGGCCCTATCTCGAGCCAGTTTTGGGTTTGTCCAGCAAGGCAACCCACGGCGTTTGAAGATTAAAATGTCGCATACTAAAGTAGCAAAAACATGATTCTTATTTTCAGGTGATTATACACTAATGAAAACATAACTATGAATAATATATTCTATTTCTGCCAATAGATCCTTAGAAATGTCATACACTTGAACATTAAAAAGCACTCTCGTCAATTTTACATATAAAGGTCTGTTTATTTGTCAGTGGGAGTACCGCTCAACCTGTAAAAACAGCTGTCCTCTGTTCCTCTTGAGGAGCTTTGTCAAGTCTGATACATATCAAAATAAGATGTTTGTAGGCCTACAATAATAAACTGTCCTGAACTTTTAGACTCATTTAAAATATTGGCATTCAGCACCCTAGCCAGGATCCTGGAAATACTGAGTTCAGGCGACCTCCAGTGACCTCCAATGTTATAATGATTAATATGTAAAACATTTTTAATTAGTTACATCAAAGCAACGTTACTGCTCCAAGAAGTACTTGTTGCCAACATACCATTTACTAATGAGAAACCTTAAATGGGCACTCTTTATAGAAGTATAATGGACTTATTTTATGTGACACTGACGCTAAGCGCTAATGTCAATAGAATAATACATCTTAGCTCAAACCTTGAGCTAATAAAATGCACAGAGAATGCTGAATACTTTACTCTAATCAAATTAATCAAGTTAAACCAAAGAATGTCAAATGAGAACATTTTATTTTCAGGTATATATTTCCCTTTTTTAAGGATGAGCTTTTGGGAGCTGAGGTTGATTATGATTAAAGTGCATTTTACAATAACAAGCATAACAAGAACAGCATATTAAGGAAATGATTCCATTATGATACGGCAAGTTCACTGAATTACTCAGGCTGTGCAGTCGAGTCAAAATATCCCATAAGCTGGTGGAATCTCGGAGGTCCAGTGGAAAATTGGCTGTGCACAAATAAAGGCTAAATATATAGCCTGACGCTCAGGCTGGAAGAGGAGAGCTGACTGAGAAAAGATTATGTGGTGTGATGACAGTCAGCAGACTAGAAAAGGAGAGGCGCTTGAAAAAAGCTATTTGTGGTGAACATGAAAGTCATATTAATATTAAAATTAGGATAGTTTGGGTAGATTTGTTTCAAAATTAGTTAATCCCTCAACAAGCTGTTTGGCTAGTCATTATAAGGTCATGCTAAATATAGTTTAAATCCACAGAACTTTGTTTTAATTATAGTGTATAAACCCCTACCAGTTTTAGGGGTTATGTGTATAAAATAATGCACAAAACATGTAAAATATTTCTATTTTAGGGAATGTTGCAGCTCTAAAATACATGACTTTGGATTTGTCTAATTTTTATTAATTTCTACAGTACCAACATCCTATGCAGCAGCTGCAGTAAGAGAGTTGAAACAAGCTAATATTATAGCCTACTTTTAGTGGAATAATATATATATATATTATTAACTAAAAGAAGAAAACTTTAATAAATAAAAATATAAAAACTGATCAGAAAATCAGCCTCTTTAACCTTATAGCAGGTAACAAACCACAGTGAGTTAAGTGGTAAGCTAGCATCAAACACTGTGAACACCAAAAGGCTCAGACAGCCTTGTAACAGCACAACACGGATGATACTAAATCTTGTTATTTTACTTTATTTTAAAATGTGGGTTTTTAAGACAGAGAGCCAGAAAGATATGTTATTTAATGGCCAGAAGAAAGTACTTTTCTGTTTTGCATTTTTGAGAGAAGAAGCACCAAGCAATTATGTTGAGTCGGCTGATTATGAGTCTTTGTTAAGTGTTGAAAGGACTCATCAGCACTGTGAATGCAATTGTGCTATTGATTGGATTAATTGGAAATTTGAATTTAAATTACATTCAATGTAGTGGAACCAGCAGGATGGATGGGTTGTGACAGGTGAGTTTTAGTTGTATAACGCTCTCATAAGAATTTAAATTTGTATTTAAGGGGTAAATAACCCTAAATTAAGCTTTCAGGATTCTCCATTCATTCAGCAAAGGAATGGAATGTTGTTGTATTTTCCCCACAGTGTTTACTGAATTCCTATAATTAGAATGAACAAGAATTATTATTTGATCAACAGCTCTCTCTGCTGGCTAATAAGAGGAATTACTACTACATGTTCTTCAGATGGTGGATCCATCAATTCAAATTGTAAACAGGTGGATATTGTTTTACTCTGGTCCTTGAACTTGAAGTTGAAATTCTTATTTATATTTATGTGTTTTTACAAAAGGTTCAACATATTCAACTGTGGGTGGGGTTTGTGGGAGTTTATATTTTTAATACAGAAAGTTGAGACAATGATTTAATACTAGTGTTTTGTTTCGAGTCACTTCACTTGTGTTTTTTCTTTCAGTAAAATGGCATAGAGCAATAGAAAGTTAAATAAGAAGGTATCTGTTTACTCTAGGGGATAGAGTTTATAAGGTACACTTAGCTCGAACTATTATCTTATACAATAAAATGTATTTTTAAAATTTTATTTAAAAAATGATTTAAAACTATAATTGTATACTCTCATACTAATTATTATTGTATACTTTCATAATTTAAAAAGTGCAATTAAATTATTTCCTGATAAAAGTACTGTCTAAAAGAAACAACAAAGAAAAAACTTTCTTTGGAATGGCTTTCTTTCCTTCCTTGTTTACCTTTTAATTTGACATTTAATTTACCCAGTGCTTATACCCTTTATAGAGGCTATTTCTTTTCTTCTTTTTTTTCTAGTACAAAAAATTAAGTGTTGTCTATCATACACCTGGTGGATAAGTGAGTAAGAAAATGAAATCACGCAAAAGAAAAATGTTTCACTTCTGTGGCCTCCCACTCCCAGCACTGTCAGAGTTTCTTAGCACCAAGGTCCATGATGAAAACGTTGTTTTTCTAATTAATTTCTAATTAACTTTTCGTCTCTAGAATTCAACTTCTAGTGACATATAATGTGTATAATTCTCTCTTTAATAACTTGTGCAGCACATCAGCCGTCTAACATTACAAACTCTCCCATAGAGGATACAGACACATCCAAGGAGCATCGTTTTGAAAAAGAGAACACCATCAAAATGAATTTATTTATTTACCATGACCTACAATATGAACAAGGTGAAATAACGATCAGTTATAGATCCATTTGAGATGCATGGAAATGAGAAATATACAAGATGGGATTTACAGAAACATAAAGATCTTTTCTGGTCAAGAATTCAGGGTCTTGGTTTTGTAGCGAAGGAGAAACAAACTCATTACTCACTCATATTGATTTCATGATGCAGAGCGATGTAGCACCAGAATGACAATGAGGTACCCTTTTTATGATGCCATAATGTGTTTTACAAAAGCTTCATAATTTATGCATCCATTGGCATCTTCTTGGTTTTGCATTAGCTGCTCCACCTCGTCCTCCCTCAACTTCTCACCTGTGGTCCGCAAGGAAGAAACCAGGAGAACTCTTTACATGTCTTTAAAATAACAGCTTCATAAAATCAGTTTTACAGTAAGATCTGTTCAACTCACCCAGTGTTGCCAGAACGTGCCTGAGCTCAGCTCCCATTACTGTGCCGTTCCCCTCTTTGTCAAATACCCTTAGACCCTCCACAAAGTCCTCAAATGTTCCACAGTCCTTGGCCTTGCAAATGTGTTGGTGTATGGGCAGAAACTGGTCAAAGTCAAGCATCTTGGTCTGCATGTCTGTGGAAAATAAAGAAAAAATAAAACAGAATTATATTCAATACAGAGTATTGACACCAATCTGATTGTTCACATAGACAATACTCAGTGTGTTGATTGTGCCTACAACCCACCTTCAGCCTTGGGCTTTCCAAGGACATGCATGATCTCTGCCTGGGTAGGATTCTGACCCAAAGCCCTAATCAAGTCCCCACACTGGGCGTAAGTGATTTTCATTTCGTTGGCTGGTGTCCTGTCAAACAGCTGGAAAGCATCTTTAAAGTCTATGAACAAAAAGAAAAACATTATTCCTTTTGATTTATATTCAGTTCATTGTGATCCAAGGATGCATGCAGAGTCTTTGAGGAAAGACCTTGAAGATGTTACAAAGTAATGATGCATAATGGGCCTATCAAGCTACCTTGATTGACATGTTCCTTTATCTCCTTTCAAAGGGATCAACTTCGATGGATGTGTTCACTTTGAAATAATGGTATATCCTTGAACCTCTCTATCATCAGCTGTTGTTGAACATGTTATCACACAGGGTTTGATCACCCAAACCATTCATTCCTTCTATAAATAGTCCATACAACACCAATGACAACTATAATGACAACCTTACCCTCAATTTGCTCTGGGGTGAATTCCAGCTACAAAGAGACAAACAAGGAGGTTAGATGCTGCTGATCATTCAGGAATATAGTTCCCAAGGCAGGTGAATAAGACTGACAGCAGAGGAAATAAATAAATAAAAAACTAGAGAACAACCCGTTAAGCATGAGCTTGACTCCACCTTTATCGTGCCATTCCAACAGCTCAAGTTACAGTCTGCATCTGTTCCGATCATTGTGCATTGTTTATCAGTGACCTTGGGTCTAACACCCCCCTCTTGCAGTACTGTCTGCTACTGTCAGCTGCATTTGAGTTATTTTTAGATGCAATATGTGACAAACAATTTTTACCCAAACTATAATTCTTGATTTGAAGAGTAAGGGGGAAAAAAACTGTTATTAAGTCAATTTAGTGAGGTGAACAAAATTAAAACATGAGCTATTAATTCATCAACCACTTGTTGAGTGAAACCTGAAGAAGATTCAAGACTTTAATGAAGACTCTGCTGAGAACGTTTTCCTCAATTTTTATGGCTTTACAAGACCAACATATTCTTTAAATTATATACACACAATATAAATAATTTATAAAAAAAAGTATTTTGATGTTCTATAGCAGAGAAGGATATGAATGTTAAACCGACTGCTCTATCTGTATAACAGTTCACTTTTGAAATCTGATTTGCACTCCAGTTTAATGTGTCATTCTGTGTCTATAATTAAATCATTATGTTATCCATCCATCCACAAACTATTTATACTCCATGTATGTTTTGGACTCCTGGCAGATTCTGTCGGATGTCTGGATATCTACAAACCCCTGCCCCTCCATGAAACTTTGTACAAATATTATCCAAATACTTATCTAAGCATGTTTAAAAATGGATGGCGATGGATATAATTATCTATATTTTTCTTCCTCCCGGTTTTTCCACCCTTTTTCCCTCAGAGGAATGGTGCGGGTGGTCTGCTATTCACAGACATAATGAAAATCATATTTTGTGGCTTTAACCACGCTCCATTGTAACATGGTGGCGGCTCGCTCAACCAGGAAAACATTTATCCATTGAGAAGGGGCCAAGTCAGCAGAAGATCTTTCCATGATGTCTGGTATCAGCTAGTTTGCTTCTGAAACTCCCCCCTAACAAGAAGTCAAAACTTCTATAATACAATTGGTTATGCATGTTTTAAGTTTAATAAAGAGCTGAAATAACAAAATATTATACAAATTGCCAGCATAACCATAACCCATTCAAATAACCGAGCAGTCTTGCTTTGCCTGTAGTGCCAACTTTAGGTCACATGGGGTCTCTGATGCTCTTTAAACACCAGCTTGGATAGTAACCATTGAACTTACTAGTAAAAGTGTAATGGCAAGATAAAAAGAAATTCTACTATACTAACAATTTAAAAAATCATGGAATTTCAAGAGTAATTTCCTGTTTAGTAAAAAATTGTAATTTCAAAGATTAAAACACTCCAAACTGTCTCAATCTATGGAAGATTTTTGTTCTGTTTTACCGTTATTGTTGTGGGGTCAAACTCCGGGGTCTTGGGGCGCTCTGGCTCTGGGGGTTTGGGGGGTGCTGCTGCAGGTTTCGGCTCTTCCTTCTTCTTAGGGGCCATTGCTAGACGCTCTCAGGAGACAATAGGGAGGACTGACACAACAGAGGGATCCAGCACAGTGTGGGTGAAGGTGGCACATTAGAGGCTAGGCCCCTTTATCCACTGTCCACAGATGCCATCTCCACCCCCCTTCCATGCCACACTGCCAACAATAGGGGGAAGACTATAAAAGGATATGCCTTTGTGCTTCTATTTAAGACAATGGCTGTTGTGTGTGTGAGTGTACATCATCAGGATATGGATGATGCAAAACTATATTGGCTGAAATCCCAGAACTAGAACCTTCTGTTAACTCGGCCATTTCCATCAACACAAGTGAGCCCTCAGATAACCTCCCTTACCTTGGACTGTTGACCTTGCTGAGTGAAGTGTGGTGGTTAGTGAGGAGGAGAGGAAGAAAATTATGATTGCTGGTCAAGAGGAGGGTGAAGTTGTTTAAATTACAATGCCACAATGATGAACTGCAATTCCCCAGCAATTATTCCTGATTATTATTCAAAATTGACGATGAGACAGTATTATTCACTGTGCACATGATGTGCCAGGACAAGCCTTTATGGTGACCATTTATCTGGTCGGATCAGAGGGATTTGCAGAGCATTAAACTCAAATCCACCCTAAAATAGGATCCACAGAATGTTGTTTCTGTCTGATCTCGGACTTTCGAGTGTCGTTATATGTGAACAAGCCTCTCTTGAAGCTAAGTGTCAAGAACATAGAAGTCAAGAAAGTAATCTGGGATGACACTAAGTGCCACTTTGTGATGCTGCCATTCACACTTGAATGGAGATGGAGTTTGTAGACAGAGTGGCAGACAGAGTGATGTTTTTGGTGTTCCTATTGTTATAAAATAAAGAACACATGAGTGCGAATAACTCAAGCAAACAAACATTCAATTCATCTGCAAATTAATGGAGTGGAGCCGCCTCCAAAGGTCATGCTTGACATTCATATTAGAATCATAGTTGCTTTGATTTTTTTGAATTCACAAATACTGGAACTGATACTGATGTTTAATCAAATGCCTTTCCAATAACTTTCCAAAAACACAGTGCATTCACACTGTAACCTGTGTATCTACCTAAAAACTATTTTAAAAAAGCACATACTGTATCTGACATGCTTCTAGTCAATCAACCCAGCAGATTTCTCAGGTCACGGGACAATAGTATTCAGTGTTTATGCACATTAAGTATGAAACACCCATCCAGTGAAAGTACTTTTTTGTTTAGTTTTTACTTTTACTTAGCTTTTTTTCTTGTTGTTGGTATATGTGTGTTGTCTCATCATAAACTGCTTCTGTATGAGGCAGTGTTTCACAAATAAACTTGAACTTTAATATATTTTTACACACACATACAATCATGCACACATGGGGATTATAGACATGCAAATGTGGAGAGATAGTGGAGAGCGGCACCCTGGGAGCAGTTAGGGGTTCATGGCCTTGGCAATGCCCAGGAAGCAGAACAGGCTTTTCTCCAGCTACCAGTCCACACTCCACTCTGTGGTCCGTTCTGGACTTGAACCCGTGACCCCCCGGTTGCCAAGCCAGTTCCCAAGCCAGTTCCCAAGCCAGTTCCCTAAGGGCTGAGCTACGGCTGGAAATCCGCACAACGGTGGAACAATAAAATTTAACAATAACACGTGCGACTGTTACATGCAATGTCACATTGGTGTGTGAAACTTACTAAACCGAAGTGGATGATAAAGATAAAGATTGGATCATTTCTTTGGTCACAGTGGGACAGCTCATTTAAATTTCATGACAGCAGGTAAGCCTGAAGTCATAAATAATAATCATAATTATCATAATAAGAAGGACTGAGTAATTTGGCTTAGACAGCCCACAGTCCTGCAAGACTACTCCGTAAAATATTGTTTACTGCAGTTAAAGCCTCAGAGTTTTTACTTGTTTTTCTTTGTTCTACTTGTTGTCATTTTTAAATTTAAAGGGAGAGTGGGGTAGGCACAGTATGGATTGAAAAATAATTTTTGATTTATATGCTGGTGCTGCAATCTATTTTAATTTTGTATCTCTTTACATATGGAGGATGATATATGACCCATCCATAAATAAACTAAGAGTGAAAGCTAAAAGAAAAAAATCTGGGCTGGACTTGAGTGTTTGACTTTGAACAATCCTTTAACAATATACAAATTCATTCTATCACCTTTTTAAATAAACATTTGTATCAATACAACTTGTATCAATAAATAATTTGTTCTTCTTTATAGAGTAATCACCTATGATCTCTTGATTACATCCCTTTGTCTTTGCACTGAAAGATGTTACTCGACAGCTGCTCTGAGCTTGTATTTAAAGCATGGGCTCCCACCCATCTCCTATGACAAAAGTGGCACCCAATCAAGTCAATAGTGGCAAATGGTGAGCTTCGGCAAATCCATTGCAATGAAGCTCATCCAAAGCACTGCCTTCATCATCACTTGTTGGGCTTGCAATGCTGCACCACATACATTCCTCTTGTCTATTTGACTTTAAAACACACCTTTTTCAGAGTAAATGAATGAGTTTTGAGATTTATCATTCATAATGAAAAGCAAAGACTTTTGAGTCGATATGAATATTGAGTGAGCAGTGAGATTTCATTCACTCTGTGATGACATACTGGAAATTATGATTTGACAACCCAGTTGTCATGCATGATTAATACTAAATCTATTCACGTGAATCAAGCACAAATCTTTATGAACTAACTCAAGGATTAAATCAACATTAGTAGGGATGATGTTAGAGACAGTATTGGCTTTGGATCAAGTGGTAGCTCACATTATCATGATGTGTCAATAACAATTTCTAAAATGGATTTGTTTTGTGATTGGTGCAGACTTCTTGATATATTAATGCAGGTTGATATTGTTCATTGATGTAGAAGAAGACACTAAACCATAACCTAAAATTAAGAAAATCACATCCTTTAAATACAATTAAGAGAAGTGCACACAAAAATAAATAATTAGGCTTGCTCTGCTTCTTTTGCACTCACTGACTGTGGCCTGGTCTGCTGTGGAAGGGATGGGACATCGGAGCATAAAATAATCACCGGATTAGTGCGTGCTGTAGAAATAATAAGTCATGGCTGCAGTTTGTTCCTCATTATTTTCAAACAGCACATGACTGAAGTAGTCAGTGTTTAGCTGGAGCTAACCTACATAAAGAGACACAGACGGAAACTGTGTATGTCATTGCGAGTATAAATGGATTCAGCCCTGCATAGCTCAGCGCCAACCCCCTTTCAGATCCCACCAGGTGATTGCCATTGACAGGCTGTAGCAGCAATTCACAACATGACCAACCGTATACAGTCAAGCTCTTAAAACATCCAAGACCTGTGCAGTTTGCTATTTTGGAGTTAGTCTGTTGTGTGGCTGGTATGTACCTTGGAAAGCCTCCAATCTGTGTTCAATGCCAATTGTTACTTGGAGCCATCAGATGACCTTCAGTGCAGCCGTAGCATTTGCTGTACAGTGCTTTAAAAGCCTGCATAAAAGCAGAGTTAAACAATTAAAGTGGTAGTGCAATTCAAATGTGTTGCTAAAACAATATTACTGTTATTTGGCAAGAGGGAAATCTATGGCTGAAAGACACAAAAACAGGAAGGTAAAATTAATCAAGTGTCCAAAGTGTCACTGCCCAGCAGTTCAATTCAGAAGCAATATATCTCACCCTGCTGTATGTGCTGTAATGGCGGTCAAGTGTGAAATCCAGTTAGGGAAGATACAGAGAACCCTATTTTCAGAAGGAATAGGTGGATGATGAAAAGGAGAAACACTCTGAAATCGACCAGGTTGCCCTCCTGACAAGAAAATGTTACAACAAGAAGGTTAAATCATTCAGCCATTACTTGACAAATCTGAATGTTGAATATGAACTTTGATTCATCTACAATGTTTGAATCATTCATGTGAAAATGATGGTAATTGTTTATTGCCACATCTATTTGAGCATGTGCAGTTTTACGAGGGCCAACTACTGGTTTTTGCTTTGTTGTAACTGTATGTTTGTAAAATGAGATGCTCATGAGTCTTTAATTAGACCTACTTTATATTATATAATATGAAAAAACTGTTCCAAAATCAACTGTTTATTTAAATAAAGAAATACTCCTAACATCAGTTTGGTTCATTAGAATTGATCAGCTGTCACAATATGTATGATTATGTATGACTAACTTCAGCAGTTACCAATTAAAATATTTATATGTATATATCTATATATATGTATGATATCTTGGAATATTTTTAGAGACAGAAAATGTCAAAGTAATCATAAACCACAGAAAAATGATATATATTTACATACATGATTAAAGAGTTTGAGTTATGGGTTTTCTAAAACATATGGGCTTGTTTCCTGCTATTTAATGGTAATTCTGACCTAAACCAACCAATAATAGCATCAGAAAACTTCAATTTCTTTGGGGTAATTGTTATCTAATGTTCACGCTTGTATTAAAAGATCTGTCAATCAATCAACTTGGAAGCAGTAGAACCTTCCACTCTTGGGGCAACCCATTTATTTACATTTAGACTGCTTTAAACTGCAGTATTAAGTGCATTCAGTGCTCTATAACTGCATTAACAGACAGAAACTCCCCTATGGCTCTGGAGCTGTGGCGACACTGTGATCATTTACCAGCACTTAGGATAAAATGTTTTCAAGCCAATGCTAATACAAATAAAGTGGTTATTACACCAGCTGGATTCCTGGTAGATGTGACGTGTTCATTATCAGATCCACAAGGCAGTCAGTGAAGTGCGAGAGCATGTAATTATACAGTCCCCTGTCCAACTAGGACCTTATGTGGGATCCAGAAGTGGTGAAAGTGCCAGTCTGTACAGGCTTCACTCCAACATAGACTCTGTTGCCATGTTGTTTGGCAGAAATTCTTATTTAGTAAGGATCATATAAACACTGTTCTCACAGCAGGATTTCCGTTAAAACATTTTTTGTATCAAATGTTTTAGCCTTAATAAACAACATTTATGCTTTTCCTGTTTGTGTGTGAGTTAGTGTGAGTATGTATGTCACAAAGAGACAACATACTGAAGTTCA